CCAGCTGGTGGAGAGGAGGGGAGGAGGAGGAGTCAATGGTGGCGGCAAAGCACCTGGTGAGCGACGCGGCCAGTGTTCCTCCAGCGCGTGCTGTGCCATCGGCCCTTCGCAGGCCAACGAGGCTGGCTCCTCCGGACGGAGGAGGAAACCGAGCCTCGGAGCTCGAGTCGCTCATGGACGGATGGGCTCACGGGACAGAGCCAGGACTGAGGCTCAGGGACAAGGGACAGACCCTTGAGCACGGGCCCTGCTGCTAGAGGAGGCTCCTCTCTACCGCACGCTTTCTGCTGTCCCCTGTCCTTCGGCAAGGACACGGAGCCCCCTTGGAGCTTATCGAGGGACACGTGCAGTGACAGGTTCCACGGGCAAGTGAGGAATCAGAGAGCACGCTGTCCCCACCAAGTCTGCTCAGCACGTGCCTTTAACGAGAAGAACCTTAGTGAAGCGGTGACATCATCGCGGTCAGTACTAAATTCTGAGAACAGGTCCCCGTGGCCCCTAGGCGAAGCCATCTCTTACGTGTCAACGTCTAGCGTCTTTCCGTCTTTCCGCAGGCTGGCCCGCCCGGTGAGCGCACACTCCCGGCCTCCCTTCCTTTCTGCCGAAGTTCTGGCGCTGACATTTTTCCCACGGCAGAGGCCGTCGGGGAACGGCCGACCCGCCAGAGACTGCGCGGCCAAGAGCATTGGTCTGGATGGTCTGGCAGAGCGTGACTGCCGGAGGGGACGTCCTTCTGCAGGAGGCCTCTGCGCATTTGGACCACATCCCCCCGACTGTAACTTCCTCTCTGGGGACTCGAAAGAAAGGCGGGCGTGGGAGCTTTCCGGGGAACGGCGACACTCGAAGGAGACAGGTCCCCTTTTTCTGGCTAAATGCAGACGACCGGGCCGTGCCCCAATGCCCCCGAGCCGGGGGGTGGGGGTGGAGGACAGGATGGGGCTCTGGACCCTTCCCGGCATTGTTACGACTTCATCCCAAGATGAGGGCATTTGAAAGGCGCTTTCAAAGTCTTTGCACGTATCCGGTGCGAAATTGTCGCTTCTGTCATGAAAAGGATCTAACGCTTCTGTCATAAAAAGGATCTAATTCTGTTTGCTCGTCTGACACTTACAAGCCTTTAGTCCTTCCCCACTCTGCCCCGGGTGCCCGGAGGGAGGGGTGCCCGAGGCCCTTCGGGGACATGGGCCCTGCCCCCCTGCAGTCTGGGGAGCGGAGTTTTGCCTGCAGCCTCGCATCAAACCCTCGGGCTCCGGCCTGTGACCTGCCTTCCCTAGGCCCGCATGAGAACACGCAATCGAGCCCGACCGCGGATCGGCTGCCTCTGACAGTGGCCCAGGGTACAGGAACGCTGGGGGACTGCCAACGCCCTCGGAGGGACCCCAACAGCGAGCGTCGGAAGACGAGGGAGAGTTCAGTTTTCAGGGGAGATGGGTGATTTTCTGGGTTATTCGGGCCGAATCTGGGTGAGGGTTAACTCTGACTCTTCTGTCTTCTGTGATGATGCTTCGAAGGACAGCGTGCCTGCTGAGTTCCATGGTGACGACCGGCGAGGATGGGGGGGTGAGGACTGAAGGCCTGGCCGCTGTGACCCTGCGACGGGTCCTTCTAGCCCATGGTTCGTAGCTGAAGGTTCTGCGGAGTCTTCATCGGTGAACGGTGAGCCGCTTGGGGCAAAGCATCCATTTAGATCACACTGGGAAAGATAAACGCCTAACGAGATATTATGGTCTCCTCGCTCGACCAGCCAGCCATCCACCCTTCTACCACTTACTAGTGTTTTGGGATTGGAAGGTGACTAAGGACAGTGTCTGCTACCGAGGGGGCCCTATCTGACCGCCCGGTCCAGTGGCTCTCGACGGAGGGGGCTCGTCGAGTTAGAAACAGGTCTCTGGGTGAGGCCGACGCACACTCTCCCGCTGCCCTGTTTGAGAGCAGCTGGGCTGGTGGAGCGCTGGAAATCTCGAGGGTGTGTTGAAGTCTTGAGATGAACGCCTCAAGAGTATAATGCGTCACCACCAGCTTTGGGCTCTGAGAAATATAATTCTGTTGGTATCGCCTGGGAGTTGAGGCTATGTGGCGGGACACAGGTGAGGTGCTACTTTCTGATTTTAGTGTCTGGGAAAAAATCGCATGCGTTACGGAGCAATGTGACTCTCTCCAAACTGCCTAGTTCCCAACCCCGGGGTCCGTCCTCCGCCAACAGCCAGACCTGCAGGATGGCCGGCAGGAAGGGCTTGCCAACCCCCGGCTCGGTCCCCCGGCAGCATGGCGCCCTTGTCGCTACCTTGGTTTTGACCGAGCGCCCTCATTCTAGAAACTGGGGCTCTGCCTTGTTCCAGGAAGTCATCGCGGGGCCAGCCAGGATCGTACCGTATGGGAAATGCCTGCCACGAGGAGAAGCACTGGACGCTGCAGACGCAGGGTCACCTCCCGGACTGGGCCCCACCCAGACCACGTAAGGGGCCTGCGGTGCCGTCATCGGCCCCCTTTATCCAGTGAGACTACTTGTCATCCCTGGACCTGAAGTCTGGGGTTTTCAGTACGGAAGGCATGGACTCGCTGCTCTGGCCTCCATGACACGGGTGTAGGCCAGCAGGAGGCTTCTAGGACCCTTCCCTCGAACGTCTGCCCCGTGTGACCGCGGGCGACTCCAAGTCCGGGACGCGAAGCCTTCGGTCTTCGCTGGCTCGGTCTTGGCGACCAGTGATTCACTTGTCCTCATGTCCCCGTGGAAGGAACAGCAGCTGAACCCGCCTGCTCGGGACTAAGCTCCAGGCTGACTGGGGCACGTCGCCCTTAAGCAGCGTGACTAATAAGCAAACCTCCTGTTCTAAGGACTTGATTCGACCAGAAACGTTAACCTTTTGTTAAAAAGACAAATCCGCAAATGACCCAGTAGATTTCCATTTGTACGTTCCGCGTGAATTTTAACATGAGAAACCCACAGCTCAACTGCACGTCGCTAACGCTTCGCAAACACGTGGGCATCCTGATGGCGTGAAGTCCCCGGGCCCCATTTTTTAAATGGTGACATTTCTCCCGATGATCAGAGAGAGAGCAGTGACCGTGATGTACGAACTACCCAGAGTGCTTGCTAGAGGAGGTGACGCGGGCACTTCGCCAAGCTCCGAGCACGGCGGTGGGGACGCGGGGACACGCGGGTCCCGCGGGGCTTCTGCCTTCATGTTGGGTTCACGCACGGGGCGTCTGCACAGCGTTTTTCTGATCTGCTGGCCTTCACTCACGGCATCGCTTCAGGCGGAGAACTTCCTCTGCACCCCAGTCACCCCGCCGTACCCGCCGACTCTGGCCCGTTTACGTAAACGATGACCAGGGATGAGCCTTCGGCTGCAGGCTCTGCAGAAAAAAGCCACTGGGTTCTGAAAGCCGTGTGACCCCCATCGCTACGAGAATAAACCGCTATCCACTTACTGGGTCCGGAGCCGCTGGTAGTTGCTTATTGAAAATGCATCGATCGTGACGGCGTTCAAGATTATGGCTGGGTACAAGACATATTTTTCGAAACACTGAAGCCAAACATAGAGTCTTTCGAACCACATTAAATGGGCGACATCTGAAAGAAACACAAAAACCGTTTTCTTTAAGACCATGCGATGATAAGCAACATCTCCCATGACTTTTTAAGATGCTGGTTTGGACGTCCAGACACCGGACGTGACACCCCAATGTCTTCCCAGGCGTCAGCTCAGAGCTGCGTTTCTGGGCAGTTCATGAATAATAATGCATCGTGATAGAGGCCAGTACCCAAATGTCTCAAGTCAGGAGACTTTTCCATAAATAATTATTACTGGAAATGATGTAGTGGGCGGTCTCGTGACGTCAAGCATCTCAGAGCGAGGGGAGAAAGTGAGGGTGAAGAACCGTTTCCGTCGGGTCGGAGTCACTTCCCTCCTGGGGCTGGGGCTGGGGCTGGTTTCTGGGCTCTTTTCGCCCTCTTTTTGGTCTTTAAACCCACAAATTTCTGGGCAACATATGCAAATGAGAGAATGCAGACCCCCCAGGCCCCCGTCACTAGGAATCCGCTCCATTCTGGGGAGCAAGCACCGTGGAGGGCGAGGCGCATGCCCGTGGGGCGTGGGTTTGCACTCAGATGCTACTGGTCACCGCGAGGGAGGTCCGCCCCGCGCCCTGCTGAGCCTGCCCGTCCGCTAGTGACCGCGAGGCAGCAGGGGACCCCAACCCACCCTGAGACAGCCGGGTGAGGCTGGGGGTGCCGCTCCATCCACAGCAAGTCTCGAAGGGGGAGTCCACTCCATCTAATTGCTGGCATCACATTCTCCAACGGTTTATAATAAAAACCCGAGCCCCGGCCCCTCGCCACAGGTGCCTCTCAGTTCACATCCGCCTCTGGCCCCTCCTGGGCCGGGCCCACAGCCCTGGGCCCCACTCTTCCTGATGTCTGAGTTCAGCGGCCACTCCTCGAGCCGCCGGTGGCCCCTTCCCGACAGCAGATGGGAGGCCCTGGGCTTTGCCTGGTGGGCATCTCGCCCTCCGCCCACACCTCCTTCCGTGCTCCCTGTGCCCCCGAGCACGGCACCCTCCTTGAAAAGGCCGGCAGAGCTGACGGCCCCGGCTTCTTGCCTCCTCCTGACTTCTGAAAGTCCCCTGGGTGTCGGTGGCTACGCCGCCCAGACCGCATGGCGAGGCCGCGTGTGGCCGCCTAGGCCACGGATAACTGATACTTCTCAGTCCCTCTCGCTGGTCCTTCGTGAGGCATGAAGCATCACTGGTCCTCTCTCCGCCCTTAGCCTCCCTGTCCCCCAGCTCCTGCCCGTGCTCACGCTGCCACGTGACGCCCCCCGCTTCCTCTGCAGCCTCCTCCGCCCCCGCCCTTGGGCACAGGCTCCCCTCGGTCCTCTTCATTACGTGTCTCATTTTCTTGAGCTGACGCCCTGCACGCCCGTAACTTGCATGATTCCTGCCATGCCGATGTCGGCCCCGGGCACGCGGGTTAGGAAACACCCTCGAAGCCCCGACACCTGTTACGGCTCTGCCCACGAGGTCACCCCTGCCCGAACCCTGAGCGCCCACGTTCAGTTTGGCCTCATGGCCCCTCGTGCCCTTTGCTCAACACCGTGTGTGAGACGCGCTCACGCTTTGGAGCGTGGCTGTCCCTTCCCAACCCCGCGGCGGTGTGGCGATCCGCTGTGTCTCCAGCTTGCATCGGTGACGAAGAGCGCCACCGTGAGCGTCCCTGCCCCTGTCCCTGTCCTTCGGCCACGGGGACACTCCCGCGGGGGTAGAAACCCAGGCGCGGAGCCGCCGGGTACTAGGTGCGCGTGCGGGAAGCTCTGGGAGACGCTGCCGGTTGTCCGGTTAGTTCCTGGGCCGGTTCCCGCTGCCACCGGCGTTTAAGGCGCCTTCGTTTGTCCCGCGTCCTTGTCAAACACCTTCTCGCTCCGTCTCGGCCGCGCTGGCGGGCGGAGGGCGGCGTCGTGTGGCGGTTCCTCCCGCGTTTCCCTGACGACGAGCGCAGGGGAGTGAGTCCCTTTCACGCGTCTCCTGGCCACCTGGCCACACCTGGGTGTCGTGGCCCCTCGTGTCTGCTGTCCGGTCCTTTCTCCTGTAGGTTGTATGTCTTCTTCTTACCGATTTTTAGTTCTTTCTCCATCCTAGGTGTGAGTCTTCGGTCTGATGTGTGCATGGGGAAAACCTCCCATTTCGTGCTCCTAATAGGATTTTTGTAGAAAAGAAATACTTAATTTTAATGTGCCCAACTTTTCATTTTTTTTCCTTTTAGAGATGTTTGTGTTCTGTTTAAAGGACAGAGATCGATGGCTGTATCCTCCGATGTTTTGCTCTGAGACCTTTATTAGTTTATTTTTCACATTTAGATCAGCAAGCTCTCTCTCTAGAACTGATTATCGCGTAGAATGAAGGGGCCGAGACTGATAGTTTTTCCACGTATGTATCTCATTGACCGTCACCGTTTATGGAAAAGAACGTCTATTTCCTCCCACACCGCAGGGGACCCTGCCGGTTTGCACGCCTGTTACACACGCCGGACACCTTCCCAGAACGTCCTTCCACGTTGCCTGACGCAGAAACCCCTGATCTCATCACAGACCCAAGCGCCTGCCATCCGAGCCGTCCTCGGCACCCTCTGTGCCCCCTGGCACGCCTCATAGTCACGGCCAGTGGCTGCCGGGGCGGGGCGTCCATGGCGTCCATCCCAAGGTCATCCCCACCGACACCGTCAGAACTGTCCGCACACGGTGCTGGCAGAAAGGAGTCTGACTCATAATCGGCTTTATTATCGTTTATAAATTCTTTATAAACAACACCCCCCTTTTCTGCTCGCTCTCGAGTGGACCCCACCATTTGCCTACCCTTGGGGCTCCACCGCCCTGCCATACATACATCGGTACGAGGCGTCTGCCAGGCCCTGAGCCAGACGTCCCGTGTGTATGGCCTTTCGTTCCGCGGCGAAATATGCCATTCCTTTGTGCTATCCCTGTACACTGTGAATCCTACAATTAGAGAACCTGTCACACCATAGAGTAAGTATTCATTTACATAGTTATCTTCCCACTCACTATACGGCGAGTTTGTCAAGAGTAGGCGTTACATCTTAAACGGTTCAGTATTTCAAGCACCTAGCAGGATGTCCGGCCCAGAGTGAGAGTTCAGTAAATGTTAATTTGTTATCTTATCATTTTTAGTGGCTGGGGGAACTCTGAATGATTAAACTGCACGAAGAGAGCCTGAAAAAAGCAGCCTATTGGAACCGCTTTTATGATTACAAAACGAAAATCGTTCTAACTCTAACGCATTCAACAACGTTTCTCATTTCAATCTCATTTCACGCAGGGCCACCAGGTACAGTTAGGCTTCCTTCTACACGAAATCACTTTTCCTGATTTCTCAATGCGTAAGAGATCAACAGGATCAGATTGAGGCCATCGCACCAAATGCAATTCGGCCAGCTCATAAAAATCCATTGACAGAGTTCTATCGACGTCTGTCACCGGTTCAGAGAAACGTGGCGACCTTAGCGAGAGTCCTGCCAAAAAAAATATGTAAATTAAGAAAAATAGAAGCCTCCTGCTGTGCTGTTAGAAAAACATCTGAATGAAAAGAAACGTGTGAGCGGCTCATCACGCAGAAGCTGGGTACCATGAGGAGGGGGGCAGTGCTCCCAGGCTCGCAAATGCTGGTCACATTTACTTTTAGAAGATGATGCTTTGCAGTGAGTGGGGATAAGGCTGATCTGGGTGCAGGGTCATAAGCCCTCTGCGGGACCTACTGCAGGGTCTGATAACTCATGTGGGTTTACCAGAAGAAATTCAATTTATCCCTCCCAGAAACACATTAAGGGATGAATCTCAAATAATAAGAAAATCACTAATCAACTCTGAATCCACCGTCCATGCCTTTCCAAATATTTGAGAGTAAAAATACTTATTCAGTGAGACTTTAATTCTCTGTGGTATATGGGGGTGCGGTGGGGTGTGCAGGTGTCCGAAACGATGTCACAGACACGGCTTTAAGGCATGTGGCCGAGACATTTAGGCTCGAGGAAGCCTTGGACTGTAAGTGTCATTCTGTTGTCTGACTTTGGGACAGCGAGTCATGGCAGCTGCACTCAACACCGATAGCATCTGTGACCAGCTAAGGCCCCACACCTGTAAGTGATAACGGGGTCTCCTGTTAGAAGCATCAAGATGAAAGCTACAAAGGAGGTCTGTGTCGGACTCTGAAGGATAAAAAAGAACTTGCAGAAAACTAGAAACCAATTCATTCATATGTTACAAAAGCCGTCACTGTTTTTTTTAACAGCGCCCTTAGCCACAGTCAGGACGCAGGCGGAGCCGGGAGCCAGGCCGCACCGCGTGACTCAGACGCGCCTCGGTACTGACGCGCTTCAGGGGACGTGACGGTGACATCCGCGTGCCTCCCACTGAAAGTCTAGTAACGCATCTCACGCAATGCACCCACCAGCAGGCACAGGGACGCACGGGCAAGGGGAAACATTGCAGGCGAAGGGTCACCCCAAGGCACCGTCTCCCTGGGGGCGCTCGGTACAACACCCAGCCCAAGCAGGGGTGGGGAAGGGCGCAAAGGAAGTTAAAATAAAGGCCTAGGAACGACAGGGAGAGAGCAGATCCCAGAGGTTACCAACGCCAAACTTCCGACTTCAGGTTCTGCTCATTTGTACGTTAAAAGAAAATGCATTTCGATTTAATTCTCGCGTATCTCTAGAAAGCTTCTACCAAGTTCGATAACTTATTCTCATAAGACGCTACGATTTCCAGACTGTAGAAAACATTTAACAGGTAAATCAAACTCATGTTGCAAGTTTTATTTGGGAGCAGAGGGGAAATAAATAGAAAGGAGGAATAATAACATAGAAGAACCTAACAAAAGTGTAAGTCCAGAACTGTGAATTCTAAAAGATTGAACTTCATCCTTCTTTACCAGGTGGCCATAAAAACCTAATAAAAAAAGAAAGCTTACAAATGCAATAACATGATAAATATGTTTCTTACCCCCAAACTGTCTCAGCATTCACACACGGTCAAGTTAAAAAGAAATTCTTCGCAATGATATCTT